CTCTATGTTGTTGAGGGGCAGTCCCCAGCCACATCGACCTGATCAGTGTTTGATTGTTGTGTCCTGTTGCTTTTCTTCTTCTCTCTCTCTCCTCTATCCACTCACCCCAACCGGTCAAGGCAGAAGGCCGCCCACCAAGAGCCGGGGTCTGTCGGAGGTTTCTTCCGTTAAAGGGAGTTTTTTCCTCCCCACTGTCACCAAGTGCTTGCTCAAGGGGGATTTGTTGGGTTTTCCCTCTGTAATAATAGTGAGAACAGTAAGGTCTAGACTTTACTCTGTAAAGTGTCCCGAGATGACTTTTGTTGTGATTTGGCGCTATACAAATAAAGTTTGATTTGATATTCCTTTTATTTTGTTTAATTGCAGTACAAGAGCAAGAGAAAATGAAATGAAATATAATGGAAAGTGAGCAATGAACTATGATGATTTGTGAATAAAGGAATTGTAAAACTAGTGCAGTCCAGAGTGGATTAAAGAGAGCATCATATATATGACAATAACATTTTTTTAAATTTTTTTTATTTTTAGAAATGGGAGGTCTTATGTGTTGTGGTGGTTTCAACACATTTTTAAAAGGTACAAAATTGAAATCAGCTACAATTCTGATTTTGCAATAACTAACAGCATATTAACAACTCAAATCTCTCGAGCTCTTTAACATGAGAAAATTAGGATAAAGAACTAAAATTAATGAAAATATACGAAAACAAAGCTGAATGTTATTTCACCAACAAACATACTGTTCTTGATCAAAAACCAAATTATTTAGGAAACATTATTAGCAGCCGCACAGGGTATTTTATATCTAAATTGTTAGCTAGCATTCGAAATGTATCTGCAACACAGGGTTTGTGGTTAGCCAGAGTTAAGAAAGTAACTTTGTGCTGGAAAAAACTTTTCAGGATTTAGTTTTTACTACATTAGCGTTGTGATTTGATTTAAGTAAATGAACCTACACAGACAGCAGACAGTAACCTTGGTTTTATGTGGTTTAGTTTTATTTGGCAATTTTGTTGGCCACATTTTTCTACGGTATAATCTAACAAATTAATACTGATTAGTAGAACGCTACATTTATAAAGAGCATCAGTGGTGGCATATGGTTCATATACACCGGTAATTCAGTATAATAAAACAGGCATAGAAATGTTCAGTTTGTGCTGAAACGGCTTCAGAGAGGTGCAGATTCAGCTGTATGGTCATTTTGAGGCTGTAACTCATATTATTGTTTAACTGTACTACATTATACAGGCTGTTACCTAGCCTCACCTAACTAATATAAACAGGGTGGACAAAAAATAAGCCCTCACTAATTCAACACCCCTTCTTTGATTGGGTGAACAGTTTGCATCGCAATGACCTTATCCACAACGCTTGGTTAGGAGAGCCTCTAAATGTACACTCTCTGACACATACACAAGATCATAAAGATAAATCACATTATATGTGTGGAGACGATTCCTACACTGATGTTCACCATGTGAGATGTGCCTTTGCAAAATATCAAATCAAAGAGCAGTATTAAGCAGCATGTAGACATGAAGTGAATAAACACCAGACCTCAGTGGAAACAGCAATGACTGTCCATCTTATGCTAGGCTTTAACACTCATTGGCATAACCACCAAGTTATGTACTCTTCCAGTCAAATGTTGACAGACATAATGTAACTCCTTTAAGTCAGGGCATTCTGCCTTTACATTGTTGAATCTCACAAACCACAAGAAAGGCATTTTGTCTGCTTCTTACACCTTAATACAATATCAGTGCCACTGTACTACCCTAATGTACAATACAGTCAACACTATGACACATATTGACACTAAAGTGATGACCATTTGCCAGTCAAATGGGCAATTTTGCAGGTGGCACAAATGTTAAACAAAGAGTACTAGGCGGCTATTTGATATTCCGTAAAATGCGCCGAGCATGACTGGTTTTCATGGTTGCAAGAGCAACCTCCAGTGTAGAGATAAGGTGCTGGAGAGTCCTGGGGTCTGTTTGGAAAACCCTGCTGATCTGGTCACTGTGGCTGTCACAACCTCTGGTTAGCAGCAGACGTAACGTCAGCATGGGAACAATCTGCTGACGGAGTGAACGGCTCGCCAACTGGCAGGAAGGGGTGAGGGAAGCCGGAAAACAAAGAGGTGAAAAGAAGTTCAATTCTGAAAAGTGGTGATCTGACACTTCACAACAGCAAGAGCTAAAACATAAACAACATGGCCAAATATATTGGCAGCCCTGCATTTCTGTCAGATAATCCACCAGTTCTCCCAGAAAACTGTTGCAATCACAAATTCTTTGGTTCCTTGTGTTTGTTTCTCTTGTTTGCACTGGAACAACAAAAATCCAAATCAGCCAAATCTGATCCATTCCACACAGAACTACAAAAACGGACTGGACAGAATTACTGACACCTTTTAAATACCATCAGAAATAGTTGTGTTTCCAACTTGTGATGCTCCTTTAATCTGTAATGAAACCTGCCTGTAGCAACCAACAGGTGCTGGCAACATAGAAATCACACTGGTAACCAGTTAAAATGGAGAAATGTTGACTCAACCTTTTTATCGTGTGGACCACACTGAGCATGGAGAGAAGAAAGAAGAGCAAAGAATTTTCTGAGGATTTGAGAAGCACAATAGTGGAAAAGCCTGGACAGTCTCAAGGCTCCAAGTCCATCTCGTGGAGCAGTTCCTCAAGCTTTCCCAGGAGCAGCACAGGATTCAGCACAGTGGAGAATACACCAGCCCAAAGTGGTTTATTCCCAACACGCTTAAGTACTACGTCTTACTGCATGACATGAACGAGGGGGATGAACAGAGGTACTGAAACAAGCTTTACTATGTTATGTCCATGTATATATTTCCTCAAATGTGCCCATGTGTATTGTGCTGTCTGTGTTATAATCATGTGGTAACAGTAAGCCGTAGGGCTGGGCAATAAAATGATCCCAATAATCATTATGGTAAAAAATCTTCTTGATAACTGATGAAACTGTGCAACGTTTGATTGATAAATGTGTCTTTAGGACTACTACTGTTAGACTGCAACGCAAGGTTTATGTAGCTGATGTGAAAAGCCAAAACATGCAGTTGGAAATGTAAAAATGAGCCACAATGAGGAGGACGTTATCTTGTGTGTATACACACAAATGACAGACATGGCCAAATATATTGGCAGCCCTGCATTTCTGTCAGATAATCCACCAGTTCTCCCAGAAAACTGTTGCAATCACAAATTCTTTGGTTCCTTGTGTTTGTTTCTCTTGTTTGCACTGGAACAACAAAAAAGCAGTCCAAATCAGCCAAATCTGATCCATTCCACACAGAACTACAAAAACGGACTGGACAGAATTACTGACACCTTTTAAATACCATCAGAAATAGTTGTGTTTCCAGCTTGTGATGCTCCTTTAATCTGTAATGAAACCTGCCTGTAGCAACCAACAGGTGCTGGCAACATAGAAATCACACTGGTAACCAGTTAAAATGGAGAAATGTTGACTCAACCTTTTTATCGTGTGGACCACACTGAGCATGGAGAGAAGAAAGAAGAGCAAAGAATTTTCTGAGGATTTGAGAAGCACAATAGTGGAAAAGCCTGGACAGTCTCAAGGCTCCAAGTCCATCTCCAGAGATCTGGCTGTTCCTGTGTCCACTGGGCGCACAGAGTGCAACAGTGTCAGATCACACTATCCGTCGTCATCTGAACGTTAAGGGACGCTATGGTAGGAGACCCAGGGGACCCACTGCTGACACAGAGATATAGAAAAGCCAGACTGGACTTTGTCAAAACTGACCTGAGGAAGCCACAGTCCTTCTGGGAGAATGTCCTGTGGACAGATGAAACTAAAATAAAGCCTTTTGGTCGAGCACATTGTTCTACTGTTTTTAGAAAAAAAATGAAATGAGGCCTTCAAAGAAAAGAACACAGTACCTACAGTCAAACACGGTGGAGGTTCACTGATGTGTTGGGGTTATTTTGCTGCTTCAGCCACTGGATGTCTTGACTGTGTGTGTGGCATTATGAAATCTGAAGACTGCCAATGAATTCTGGGGCACAATGTAGGGCCCAGTGTCAGAAGGTTGGGTCTCTGTCAGAGGTCATGGGTCTTACAGCAGGACAATGACCCAAAGCAGACTTCACAAAGCACCAGAAATAGTTTCAGCTGGAGAGTTCAGAAGTGGCCAGCAATGAGTCCAGATCTAAATTCCATATAGCTCCTGTGGAGGGATCTCAGAACAGCAGCTGGGAGAAGGAAGCCTTCAAAACTGAGAGACCTGGAGCAGTTGACAGAAGAGGAGTGGTCCACAATTCCAGTGAGAGGTGGAAGAAACTCACTGATTTCAGTTATTTTGTCCAAAGGGTGTGCTACCACAAACTGAGGGTGTCATCAATTCTGTCCAGCCCATGTCTGGAGATCTGTTTGCAATGGATCAGATCTGGCTTTTTTGTGTTGTTCCAATGCAAACACAAGAAATAAACATCAGGATATCAAAGAATTTGTGATTGCAACAGTTTTCTGGGAGAAGTGGTATGTTATCTGACAGAAATGCAGGGCTGCCAATATTTTTGGCCGTGACTTTATATAAGCACAGGTTATAAATACAAACCAGTCTATATACTGTAGTTTTTTGTTTTGCCTTCCTTCTTTTCACATTTCATACCTGGAGGCCCACACATTTCTGATGGAACGTGAGTCACTGTTTTTGTTTAAAACTACTAAATGAACAAACAATTCACCATAAAAAGACAGACATATAAGAAGGTAAATAGTCTGTATTTTCAATTATTGTACCCTATTTTAATCTTAATTTTATTTTCTTCAATTATTTTATTTTAGTACTTGGTTTTAGTAATATTATGATACTGTATGACTGATTGTTATATGTTACTTGCTATGTCTGTGTTTTTATGTGTGTCTATGTATGCACCAAATCGCCAAGGCAAATTCCTGATAATGTGAACTTCAATTTTACTTATTTGGCAATAAACTTGATTCTGATTCTGATAAAAAGGCTGCACACAGAATATAACAAGCATACTCACTTATCTACAACACTATCAATTTGAATCCACAGCAGATGAACAATAAATTTAACATTACGTAGCACACACATACCTGTACATCCAGTCTCCACTCCAGGTTGTGGTAGGCAGGCACGTTAGAGGGCAGCTGACTCAGGATGCTGCGGATCTGACTGCGGTGCTGCTCATAGAGCTGCAACAGGAACAAACAAACGCAGGTGGAGTGCAGTGGACTCTCCAAAATAGTGGTGGAGTCAAATAATACAATCACATAAATAAATTAAAAGTCACCTGTAAGAGGATCTGGTTAAGCTCATCACCAAACCCCAGAACCAACACTGAATCCAGGAAATCCACTTCAGAGATCTGTCACACACACACACACACACACACACACACACACACACACAGAACACTGACACTGGGAACAGCTTGTTTACTGTATCTTGCAAAATACTGACTACACAGGTTACATAGTACATTGCATATACAGTATCTCTAAATGTTCCAGACATTGATACAGTATGTCATCAGTGAAAAATGCCATAGTAATGTGCAATCTGCCTCAATGACTCGATGTACTGGACGTAAACAAAACATAACTAAGCCATTATAAATATCACAACTGTTCTTCTCATGCTATGACAAGCCACACAGTCTGGTGTGAAAGTAACAAGTGAAGGGAAAAAGTTCTATTAAATCTGCATTAACTATAACTTTACACACTGTCTAATAAGTCAAGTGAAAATGGGACAGGATGTGGCATCTCTGAGCTGTACCATCTCCTTCCATTAGACTCTTAGGTCTTTTCCACTGTAAGAACTTATCGACCCGTAAATAAACTTGTACCCCTTGTTCCAGGTTCTGTTTTTGTTTCCACCAACATCTACCTGCTCTGGAGACAAGACCCAGGAGCTAAATTTCAGCTTCCCCTCAGGAGGTAGTACTAAATCAAGTTCCAGGTACTCGAAGTAGAAGAGGATAGGTGCTTGGAGGGCTGTCACCCGTGATTGATTAAATGTCAGCATTGGCATGTCACAAGTATCACAAGGCGGTAGGGCATGCAAACATATACTCATACTGGTTTAGAGGTGAAACCGCAGGACCTCTCAGACGCCACAAGTCAGACTGCGCCCCAAACAGTGTCTGCCAGACAGAAGAGGTAACACAACACAAACTCCGCCATCCTTGGCTGTGCACCAACTTACCTATCCACCATCCATCAGCCAAGTTCTGTTTCTAGTTGTATGTGCAGTTCAACATCCCCAGTGCCACCATGTGATCTAAAAGCTGAATTAGCGTTGCCGTTTATCTCATCATCAAAAAAAAAAAGACATGCCTAAATACTGTCAATGCATTTTCGACAAAAAGGTAGCCAGCCTCATTACTTCATATTCTGTTACTGCTGTAGAGCTGGGGCTCGTTAGTCAGCTAACGCTAGCTTTGGACTAGAGACTGGCCTTTGTACAGTTTGTCACAGCCAAGCATCTGCAGTTCACACTGTAGCTTCAGGAAACAGCACCAGAGGGGCAAAGCAGGAAGGAGTGATTTATGGTGTGAGTTTGATTTGAGTCTCATTAGACCCTTTAGCAAGCTGAAAAGAAATGTGGCAGAGCATCTTTAACCTATACATACAGCTTTAGATCTAATCGAGGTTCGAGGTTATGGTAAGAAAAAAAGCAGATGGGATGATTCACCATGTGTTTGGAGCTCTCTGTCATCAGGAACATCAGGCCTTCCACTCCATGCTGCACCATTTCCACAGAAACACACAGCTTCCCTGCAAGCAATGGTGTGGTATGGATTTACTTTTAGGTACTGTTAGTACATAATTAAGTAGCATATGTATCAAAGCTGCATGATTTAGAAAAGTCATCATCTATTCAACTCAGTTTAGCATCAATAATATGGAACTTAAAACCTCTTAACTAGAGGTTTTCATTGTTTTCACTGAGCAACTTCATTGCATTTTGTAAAAAAAAACAAGTTTAGAATTTGATGCAACTCAAACAAAGTTGGAACAAAGGCCTGTTTACCACTGAGTTCCATCATTGATCCTGGTAACTACACTTTTTAAATCATTTGGGAGCTGAGGATACTAATTGTTGCAGTTTTGCTGGTGGAATATTGGTCCCTTCCTGCTGGATACAAGACTTCAGCTGCTCAGCAGTCTGTCGTCACCAATATCTGATCGTCCTCTTCATGACGTGCCAGACATTTTCAGTAGGAGGCAGATGTGGACTGCAGGCAGTCCAGTCAAGCACTTTTTTTTTTTGAATTACATTGTGGAAAATGTCATAACTATTCTAGAAACAGGGTTGGTACGCTTCATCCATTTTAGTTATTAACAGGCAGTTTTATGATTTTTTATGATGGTTTTATGAAACAAACCAACCAACCAAAACTGTTATGAAAAATAAAACATGCAGGATGAGCAGTTCATTGAAGCTCTTTTTTGAAATGACTGCAGCCACAGTGGCTTTTTGCAGGACATACTGTATAAACAGTATCCAATTTATTAGGTCGACCTAACTAATACAATCTACAGTCAACAACATCCAATAACCCATGCCTCTTTATGTAGGTTCTAATGTTCATTTTGTGTCAAAACCAATTTAGAAAGGTGCTGATTAAACTTTATGGTCATTTTGGAGGATGTATCTTATGGTGCTGCTCAACTTGTATTGCATTACACTGAGGCATGTTTCTAATATTTTGTCCACATATGATATTATGGTTGTTGTGCCAGACTGCATTAACTTTAGCAAGCTGTACCTAATAATACAACTAGATACAAATTTCATAAGAAACAAACTGTGAGAGTAATACAGTACTATAAACAATAACATATACTGTACATACACTATGAGGGTAAATCCAGGTGAGGGTAAATTGTTTGGAAATGTCTTTGATGCATTTTAAACCAAATTGCCCATAAGTAGTCCTCTACTGCGCACATCGCCAGCTGGAAGAGTGGACCAGTCAGCTGTTCATTAATAAGTATGTAATGAGAAGTACAGAGTCTTACTGGCTGCTCCTTCGTAGATCTTAGGACTGGATCCTCTCCTTAAAAACTCCAGCGCTATGCGACCAAACTCTGCAACCACTAATGACAAAAGAAAAAAAAAGAAAACATTGGAACATATGGTAAATTTGGTGAACACATAACAACCGTGTTTAATTCAGAATTAGGGTTATGATGATGTAAAGACAAAATTAATGTCATTCAGTTGTTATACACAGAAGACCGATATGTCATATAGCCTACACAAGATTCAATCTAAATTAAATCAAAATGTTTAAAATTCAATAAATTAGATTTTAAATTATTTTTTCACATTTCAACTAATCTAATAATAAAGAAGTACAGATTGTAGGTTGTAGATGGTTCTCTTTTACGTTTTTTATAGACAGTAATAACAGATTAACAAGTCTATATCTAAATGGCTTTCTAACTATAATTTGCATTTTGTTACACAGACATCATTATGCATCATCAATAGTGAAGCTCATTTAGAGCATGGTTAGAGCCATTGGTGTGAACTGACGCTGCAGATGGCTGCCTCGGTTCTGTACCAGAAACTAATTCCTTGTGTGTGTGTACCATGCTATATATTATATGTGTATATATATGTAAACTAAAGAAAATCCAAGATATAGCTTTCTGGGGTAACCAAATGCTGCGTGTCAACTATGGGTATAACTTGTACTTCCCTCCAGGGTCGATACGGTCTTCCTGCTGTGTTTTTCCACTGTATTTTCTCTATGTCAGTCTCTGTTAAGAGGAGGGAGGGGCTGCTCCCCTCTCATGCAGTCAGTTGTGTGTTTACACACAGGTTTTTGTAATGCTAACGGTTGAGGTGTGAGGACATGGACATTTAACCACTACCGGTTACTGCTCTATGCACACATACTCCCTCCCACTTCGCATTCCTGGTACTTGATTTCAGTACTATCTCCTAAAGGATGCTCAAATGTAGCAGAATGCACCTCCTAAGATGCATGTCTTTGGACTGAAGTACCCAGAGAGAACCCACACAGGGACTGGGAGAACATGCAAACTCCAGAAGGACAGGCACCAGGTCGGCCGGGGCTCGAGCAAGGGACCCTATTGCTGTAAAGCGACTACTTCACTATGCCACCCGTGATATTACTATTATTATTATTACTACATACGTACTGTACATGCCAATATATCAAATTCCTCCAGGTGTGGAGTGGACTGCTTTTGTTTTTGACTGAAATTCATTAGAAGCCCTCTTGCACAGAATCTTGATTACCTGGTGACTGATTACAACTTTTTCTAGCACCCTAATCTGTTTGTTTTTTCTCTTTTGTGTTATGTCATTTATTTTCTATATTCTTTTATTTATACTGATTTATATCAACGATGTGCTTGTGTAAAATGAAATTATTTTACAAGTTTTATTTCAAATAATTTAGCTATGTTGCTTTGCTCATTCTGAATTTACATGTCAGTATTGTTACCGTATCTGTGAAGAGCTGAAATTTTTGTATGATTTCAATTAAAGTTAAAGATACTTAATGAATGTATTATTTCTACAATTTCACTAATAATTTCACTTAATTTTCAACAACAATACGCAGCTTTCACGAAAAGAGAGCCATCTTAACTTTTCAGGGAAGTAAACCATCTCCCTTTTAAATTAATATTTTTCCTAGACCAGACGGGATTATTTTTGATTCCGTATTGTTAGAAGAGTCTATGATGATTCTAAAAACTCCTTCAGAAATTGGGTCAGTATTATGATATGACGGTACGTGGTTAAAACGTTCTGCAAGTCTGAATTTGGACGCTCACGGAAGGTGATCTCTGTGACTCGAGTGAATGCGATAGTCACAAGCTGGGGGACCATTGTAAAGCCTACTCCCAAAGTGTTATTGTTCACACTCTTTAATAGGTTAACGCTTTATGTTGGTGTCAAAGATTAGTTAATACTTTTAATAGCACCTTCTTGACACGGTCATTCGCCTGTTTACAGTATGTCAAAGATTATTTAATGCTTTTAATAGCACCTTGTTGACACGGTCATTCGCCTGTTTACAGTCAGAGGATTTAGCTGACAGTCAGCAGTAAGAAGCGGATATTTTCAGCATCCAACACGGTATTATAGTCCTGATTACCCGCTGAGAAACCACTTATTTACCTGCGGCATCAACCTTAGGTAGGAAGGCGAGGTGTTCTTTATGCTCTTCAGACAAAACCAGTAGCATTCTGAACAATAATGTGCTGTTGGACACGGCAACGAGCAGATTTCCTCAACCCGGAAACGACTTGGGTCTTAATTATCGGTGTGTTCCATTTTTCCGTGCTAGCATGCCGCTTGTTGCGTGGCAGCAAGGGCGGAGGTACTCGTTTAAATTGGGTGCAGGCGGCACATTAGAAGGAAATATGACGCTGATCTTCATCAGCTGATAATGGTAATTCGGGAAAAAACTTTAATGAGTGCGTGCCTAACGAGCTAGCTAAATTAGCTGAGGCTGGGCGTTGTTCTGCACCAGGAGGGACCCAGGGCCCACTGCGCCTGCGTAAGGTCTGACAGTCGCTATGAGGATTTCAACCTGGTACCTCACAGGTTCCAGGGGGACTGTTGCTATATGGAGGTCACTGACCCAGCACCGAACCGGTTCACACTGAACACGTGACAGGCATGGAGGAGTCTGGAGACACCGCGGTGAAAGTTATGCTGCCTCTAACATCATCGAGCGTTTCCATCTTCCAAGACAGCTTATTGTTTATGGTGATGCTAAGTGACATGTGTATGCGTGGCAAATAAAAATATTAAATGTCAGATTAACCTTTGCCATAGTGACAACAAAAGTAATGTTGTTGTAACAAGTTATTTTTGGAGGGAGCAATAAATACTGCTGAAATTTTATTTGCAAAATTTTTACACTCGTTGCTGCTTAAAACATTACAGTAACACTTTGTTCTAAGGGTTCTTTCAACCTGCGGTGGGATGCAGACCTTACCCTATAGGACAGTGATCAGGAGACAAGATTAAATGAACTCTAAATAAAAAAAATAATTCTCTAATATACAGTAATAATAATAATCCAGTTTTCTAACACAAAATGGGATAAGGTTCCATTCCTATGCCAAAAAAAACCAAACACTTTTTAGTTGTGCTTTACTGCCTTGTCTTTAGTTGATGTTCAATTCAGGCCCTATATAAAAACAGTGTTCAGTTTGTTTTGAACCTAAAGCCTGTCACTCGCTCACTATTGCTGGTAAAGCTTGATTTCTGTGATCATACTGTAATTGAGGCCAAATTAGATGAGCATATAAAAACTTTGATCAGCTTCAGAGTTTTCTCATCTGGCAGCTGAACATCCAGAAGACAAGCATTTGGGTGAATGATTCAAAGTCAAGCTGTAAACATCAATGGCTCTTGAAATGAACATTCTTCAGCTCAAATTGAGAACTTCACTTATGTACATTAAAAACACTAGTGATACCAAATATGTATATGTAAAACATTTATTGTGTAAAAAAAAAAAAAAAGTTCAACAGTTATTCATAGATGAAAGCTGATATTTGCCACACGCCCCAATATGAAACCCAGAAAATCATTTTCATAGCCTTCACCCATCAAGCAGTGTTTCCCATACATTGATTTATTTGTGGCTGGCTGGCCCCAAATCCATATTAACCACCACCTTTGGTTTAAAAAAAGGTAAAATCTTATTTCAGTGTAGTGCCGTGTGTAGCACATATACTTGCTTAGTCCCCTCCGTGCCCCACTCTGCTGATGCTGAACCATTGCTCCCTCAGTCCAGAGGAATATCGAAAAATGTGGGAAAGCTGATCAGTCTGGCTCATGTTTCAACTATCAATTGGTTTCAACCAGTGCTACTGAAGCAGCAAGAGGCTCAGGAAGAGAAAGAGGTAGGAGGAGGGCAGCAGCCAAGATGTTGCTTCTGTGGGGGAGCTAGTGCTGGAGGAACAGGGCAGATGAACATCACTATAGCAATATTATATTTAATTTAAAAAGATTAAGAAAGCATGACACCCCCACCACCCCGAAGATAACGCCACAATTAGAATGTAATTCTGTGGGAAACACTGCATCCAGTGAAGACTTAGCACTCACTTGTAGCATAACAGTACAGGAGTCATGTTCAGTATTTTATCAAAATTCTGAAATGTATTTAATCACAAAAATCAGTTTTTAAATTTAGGTCATCAACACCCAACCTTAAGCACCCCAGAAATCCTCAACACAAAATAATAAATGAAGTATTTCATGTAAACAAATTGATTACATAGACAATAAAACAAACAAAAAAAACTAGCAATGTAAAAACAGTATAGAAACAATAAAAGGTTTCCCAAAATGGTACACAAGGAGTCAGAGCAATACTCAATGTAGTGTATTGCAAGAGATGATGCAGACGACATAGAGATGGAGAAGTCCACTGTTAACTTAAACCACTTGTGTACTTAAAACAGAAGCAGTCAGTTTAATATGTCAGACTTACAAGTCCTTTTAATTATATTATTTCAGTTGCTCAACAGGGAATCAATGCACCAAACCCACCTCCACCTGTTGTAACAAACATTTTAGCCACTCAGTGTTTTAAGAGCAGCAGTGTTGCTTTGCATGACTCAAGGAGAAACAAGCCAGCTGATAAAATCTGGTGACAACGGTACCATTACATAGCAACAAAATGCCCCTTTCATACAGCAGATGCATGAGGGATAGGGTGGTCCAAAATGGATTCAATGTGAGTCACAGCAAAATCTTGTGCCAATTACTAAAGAGAATGCATGGATCAATTTTTACATGTCCAATTAAACCACTTATTTGCAGTCTGACATGAGATCAGTAACCATACAGTCATTATACACCACTCAATATTTTTAACACAACGAAACCTCTTAACTATGCAGTCCTATTCAGTTCAAAGGTTTTGAAACTGAGGGAATCCGGTTACGATGCTTCACAACCACCTTCATCAGGTACTGTTTTTGAGACTTAACATTTGTAGCACATTCAGCAGTGTTGTTGATGACAGTCATGTCCTTGACAGCAACACTGAACTGAACATCATACAAATGGTGTTACCTCTCACCACTCAATGTCAGCCTGGATTGGCTCCAGCCCGTGACCCTCTGGCAGATATGCAGTATAGATAATGGACGGACGGTCAAATGGCATTATAGGGTTAAATTTAATATATGTATAGTTGTATTATAGGAAACTTTAGAATTAATATATAATATTACATTTTGATGCACCAACATAAATTAAACAGCCTGAGAGGTGGAGAATTTCAGATAGCCAGTGAAGGTCAACATTTTGGGGGAACTTGTAAAGGACAAGGAGAGTATGAAGGGGACGCTGAGGGTCCAGCGACCCCTTCATAGGGTCGCTGGACCCTCAGCTGTATGAAGAAACATGCAGGTATATTGATATCTGTGAGGGCAGATGAGCGTTGGAACTAACAATTAGCAGGAACCAACAACAAGTATGACCCACGTACGGAATGAGGCAAGTGATTTGCTACAGAGGTTAATAGTTTGGTAGCGACACATCATATATTACTCTTCGATTCAGTACGTCTCAAAATAGGCACTTGAGTCATATGAATGAATTTCAGATCTTGTTTCATATACTACAGAAAAGTGAAACTTGACACAGTTGCCATACAGTAGATTTAGCAAACCCCAATGTTGGTCGCAATGGATTTTGTTGTGCCACCTGAAGAATAAGTTCATGTACTCATCACTCTCACTATTCCTCAGTATTATGAGATGATATGTAGTAAAATCGTAATTTAAATGCACTTTGTTGCTGACAGAGAAGTATCACTGTAAGATCTAGAGAAATCTAAGGAATTTAGGTTTTAAAAATGTGGAGTTCAGGAGGAATTGTGTGGTCTGTGCTTTATGATATTAACATTAAACATGATGATATGTTTTTAAAAATAGCAACTGTTTTTCAGAAATAATTCTGGACTCTGTCTTACAGGAGAAGAATTGCAGAGAAGGGCTCATCACCTGAACCTGACCAGAGATCAGTAAGTACCATTAGATCCTTCTTGTCTGCTGTATTCATGGGGTAGGACTGGATAAGTCTGACTTCTTCCTACTCCCTTCAAGCATGTACTAGGTATAAGCAAATTGATATTGGATTAGCATTTGTTGGATATGTGTAAAATTATGTGTGTTGACATATCAACTGTCTTTACATGCTTGAAAGAATAAATCAAATCAAATCAAATTTCCAAACAACAGCTCATACAGCTTGTTGTTTTCAGTTTTCAGACTCCAGACTAGAGTATGGTTTCCTACACTTCACTGATACTTGCATCACATGATGACCAGAGCGAATTCAGTTTTGGATTCTATACTTCCACCTGTATTTACACAGTTCCTATTACTGGTCTGGACTACAGCTGGAGCAAGTCTGAGAACCACTTAATTTAAGCTTGTTGGTGGTCAGTTGTAAGCAGAAACACTGAACTCAGTCAGTGAAAGGAGTGTTGTGTTAGCTAAGTTGTTTTGGCTGTAAGGTAGGTAGGTAGGTAGGTAGGTAGAACTTTATTGATCCCACAGTGGGCAAATTTCAGTAAGACAGAAGACTGAAATTTGGTGTTGACGACAAGACACTTAAGGTGTCCCAGAAAAAAAAACAAAGCTTTAAGTACAGATACTATTTGATACAGATAAGATTTTAGTATGCACCCAAAGTTTCAAAGGCCAATCAAGGGTTGCCAGGCAGCAAAACAGAATTTCGAGTAGGTTACAGTGTTTGCAAAAACTGCTCCTATCACTATTCTGAAGCTCTAGTGTTAATTGGGCAGTTTGGAGGATCACAGTTAAATCCTGCTTCTCATGACACAGCACATTTTCTTTCTACTTTAGAACACACAAGGACAGCACAGACAACTAATTCTGTACTTTGCATCATTGCCATCAGACAGTAGAGGTTGTCAGTCAGAACAAAGTGTTTAGTTGGCCTTGCTATTTGGAGCATCTGCAGGTAATAGTGACAGTTCACTGCTAAATATTAAGATGTCTTTGTCAGAAAGGTCTTTAAAAAACTGCTCACTACTTGTTCAAGACTAAACACAAGGTTATTACTTCTTTATATATTTATGGATATAGGGCTGATGTTCTTGTCTTGAGAACTCAAATAACAGGTTCTTTTAGTTGGTTTCTGTGACATCAGTACACCAGGGGTCTCCAACATGTTGCTCGCAAGCTACCAGTAGCTCACTCTCCAATTCTGAGTAGCTCACCTAAAGGCTCAGAGAATATACAGCAGCCTACAGTTCATGCATAATAATATTATATAACAGAACTTCACTCAGTGAGCCTGCTCAGACTGCAATCCAATCATGTAGATGTCCCACTTCCCTTTGGCACCAAATTACAATTTGCCAATCAACTGTCAAACTAGTGGTGTTGCTGTCAAGTTTGTTTACATCAGTTGCACCATTCAGTGATGTTAGCAACTCCTTTGGACAAAGTTGCATTAAAGAGCCCATGGCATGCTGTTCTGTGTTTTCTGACTTATCTACAATGTTACAACGATGAATTATCTTAAATGTGACGTATTGCCAACTGTCAGTGCACTGTTTGATACTCAAGCAAATACTGGCATTACAAGGGGTATTGTTTTCTATGATTTAAGTGAGGCTCCGAACGTTTATTTCCATTAGACATCTGAGATTATCATATCCTCGGAATGTGTAACACAATCAAATTGTGCATCATGTCTGTGCATTTAGTTAAGACTGAATTACAAGTAAAAAAAATTTTTTTAATTAAACTGTGGCAGTTGGCAATCGAGTTTTTTTTTTAAATAACCTACCTAATTTAACTCCTTTGTTGTTCATGTTGATAAGGAGCCTGAAATACAACAACCAACTTCCCTTTGTTTTTACAACACATGAATGCAGATGGCATAGTGAGCCGTAGCCTACATGCAATCTATTTAAGGTTTTGATTTGTGAAAGGAGGTGCATGTGAGCTTCAATCTGATGTGATGACTGATGTTTGATACAAAAATTGACTTAATATTAGATAACTGGTTACACAATTACCTTATTCAGTTGGTTTGGAGATCTGTTTGAAAGTTATAATATATATATATGCAAAATGTAATTAGTGTCTTAATATAAAACAAGTAGCTGTCAGCCACTTTCATTTTTGTCAAAGTAGCTCTCGCAGTAAAAGGTTGGAGACCCCTGCACTATACATTGTGTTGTGCTGGTTATAAAGAATGAAATCAAAATGCTTATAGTGGAAGAATGGAAAAACAGCCCATGGAAAGAATCATTAATATATATATAGATTAGTATTAATAGAGGTGGGAGTATTCAGCTCCAACACCACAGCTGGAGAGTTTGGATCCATTATCTTTGCATGATCCACAGATACTGGCACCGTTAGTCATATTTACGGAAATGATTCATGAAAATGGGTCCAAAGGTTCTTATCTTAACAATAAAAACACCATATGAAGAGACAATGGATAAGATCACATTTGAGTGGCTCTAGAGGGAAACAAATGTGACTAAGTCAAAGCTATCAATAAAACAGGATGATTTCACATGACGATACATTCCCTGGATGACATCTTGCCCTGTATGGAAAAAGGTTCAACAAAAACATTTTATTAGGAATTTATATGCCAAATGTTTGTTATATACTCTGATTTGCTCTAAAAAGAAGGAGTGTTCAGAAAAAAGGAGGGTAAGTACAGTCAGATGAGTTAACTTCCAGTTCAGAATAGTAATGACACTGATGTTGAAGAAGTACAGCTATCACCAGTACAGAGACATAAAAAGCTGCTATCCTGTGACCAGTGGATCTGGTTCCTGTTCCTGTGGCAAGCAGATTCACTTCCTGTTTGCCAATGCACAGAGTTTGTTTACGGATTACCTTTAAGATTAAGATAACTAGATTTCTCTGAACACCCGATATTGTTGTGAGTCATAACAAAATTGCACAACTTAAACACCTATTACAAACTATCCTGCTAGTTTTGAATTTCGGCTCCAGCAACAACTTCTCCCTCTTCCTCAGGGTGTCACATTTAGTTTGGGTACCTAAAGTGACCACTGAGTGATGTTACAGTTATATGTTTTATTTTTTTCATTAGACTTTGATTAGGTTAGTTTACCCGATGGGAGCTAGTCTTGTCAATGACTGAGTCACAGAGTGGCATTATTCCCTCAGTACAAAAAAACGGTTTAGCCAAGTGTTGTATATATTTTCTTTACAGCTGGAAGGACGCAACAATGTAAAATAAATGATAGGTTAATCAATAAACCGGCTTAGTTGTCTTAAGGAATGAAGTTGATCATTTTCTATATTAAGACTATTTTCAACAATCCCCAAATAGAGACTAAAACCAAGGAACTGCCTCTGCTCACAGTTAAGGTCTGTCAGTCTCAAAACTCGATTATCTTATTTGTCTGTACCACAAACCTCAATTCAACACACCACTGCACTGGGTGACACTTTTCTTCATTATGAAACACCAGACCCACATATTTGTTAAAAATGTTGCTCCAAAAGCTGCAAAAAGAGCATACCCTTTAAAGACAGGGTTATGCTTGGTGGCACAGTGAAAATTGCACATGCAGACTTAAGGTGTAAAATTCAGATTATTTGATTTTAGATTTTTTAAAGATATTTTAAGGACACCCAGAAACCCCAGGAAAACCTGAAAGGGTCTGAAAATGTTCCATATCTACTGTAGAAATACCATTTATCATAAAGCTAACCGAACAGCAGTAAAGCAACCCTCAGCACCACTGGTGCATGTATGAGGATGTTGGATTCATATGGGGGGGGCTTAGTAAAAATAAAGAGCAAGCATAGAGCATAAGAAGGAAAATACAAAACACGACACTAATCACAGGCGATAAAAAAATGAAGTGGGGAAATAAAACTTTTTGGATGCTTTACACAAAGGCAAATATGGCAAGAAAAACAAGTCTACTCACCGTTTGTACCACTTCCTCTTCTTCCTCTCCATTCTCAACCTCAACTTGAGTTTTGGTTACAGTCCTTCTGGCCACTTCCTGCAGGACACAACATAGACACGCCATAATGCAAAGCTCAAATTCAGCTCTAAGCAAGATAAAAACACAGGAATAACATTCAGCATAAAACATGGTATTCTGTATACCAAATCAAGAAACAGGTATAATTAATCATGCATGGATGTCTTTACCTCGCCGTCAGCATTGAACAAAGAGGTAACTATGTCATTTCCTGTGCCCCAGGAAGCCTGGCTTTTCCACAACAAGTCAGATGGTGGACTGTGGGCCACACCAGCATCAGCAGACCACACCTGTATAAACACAGTGTAAGTAAATACATGTATGTAAAAAAAAAAATTTAAAACACAAAAGACTTAACAGAACATTAAAAAAAAATCTGTATATAATTTGTATATGATTCTTCGCAGTGACTTTCATACTTAACAGTTTACATTTAAATAAAGTGATGTGAAAATTATGCAACAGTTAAAAAGTATGCAAGATTATTTTCCAAAGATATGCATTATCAAATCTAAAATCTGCCCATGTTGGAAATCCGGCACAGTACGGGAGAACTTTAAGCCCTGATGAATACAAAAGTATACTAGCAAATGGAAATTAATAAAACACTTGAAAAACACAGGACCTCTTCACATATCATCTCCTACTTAATGTCTCACCGTGACTGACTGTCCAGCCTTGAGGACAAACTTCGGGGAGAACTTATAGATTACTTCTTCCCCATTGTCAACCTGTCTCTTCAACCTCCAGTTGCCCAAAGGCTGATCCTGAAAAACAAAAGAAGCATAACATGCAAGGACAAAATCTTTTCACTACTGGCACTAAACGTACTGATCAAAATGTTATTGATGAACTCACTGCAGATCTAGGGAATCTGTTTTTACACTACCTCACATAATCAGCATTTACTGTTATCATGGTGGAATACATCCGACCTTTTCATATTCAGTGTTTCTTGTGAATATGCAGTGCTACTAATCACAACCTGTTGGTCATCTGCATAGTCTGTCCAGTCTTTTTGATTGGAGACTCTCCCTCCCTCTCTCTCTCTCTCCCCTATCTTACAAACCTGCTCTGTATCATTGGCCAGTGTGACTGCATTTCCATCCATGTTAGTGGGTGATATTGTGACTGCTCCGCTAGCTGTGGCCTCCTCTGACACCAGCATCTGCCCCTCTCCTCTTCCTACCACTGGCAGATTCTTAGATTCCACATCCACTCTCTTCCGTTTAGAGGTGCGGGAGGAGGAAGATCCTGTTATCCTGGAAACAGTGACTCGAGGTGATGAGCTAGGGGAAAGCTTCAGCCTGAAAGAAGCAGACCAAGCACCAGCACATTAATGGCCATCCACCTCTCCATGACACAAAAGACTGAGCTGTCAGTTAACAGAACCTATGGTCTTTTTGGAGGACAACACAAGACATGTTCTTCTGTCGCTGCATGTTTCACTGTGCATTGCTACACTTAATCTGATGGCATTCCAGGTAAAGGACAGCAGATGGACACACTGTCTTCACCAGGTTGACCAGCAGCAGAAATCAACTGGACAAATATAATTTTCATGTAGGGTTATCTAAAAGAAATCAGCATGTTTTTACGTATGGATTCATTTCCTGATTTTACTGATTTTTCCCAGCTCGCTATAGAGGGTGAGACAAAGTGAAACCAAAAATCTCAGAGTTACATCAGGAGTTGATATCAGATACCAGCAAAAACATTTGCAACAGAAAATAAAATGGAATTTGTGTGATTTAAACAGCTGTATGTGAAAATTACACTTAACTAAATGCATGAAAGGAAATAGACCCAAGCAAAAAAAAATTAAATGCTGGGTCCAGTTGCTTACGCACGGTTCGGGGATACATTTGATAGAACGGAATTCTATCTGCTGCTGTGTAACAAGTCTAAAAACATTCAGGGCGAACTGGTCTTAACCTAAATGTGACTTGCCTCGTTGTTTTACGGGCTTCACGAGCAAGTCCCTCTAGTGTTTGGTTAAATGATTGATTGGTTGAATTGATATTTTGCCGTTGCAGGGCACCATGGAGAAATGTTACCAGCGAACACTTCATAGGCCAGCAAGTGTGCACGAGTTGTACCTGTGCTCCTCTCCCTCCAGCAGTTTCCTGTATGCATTGATCTCCATATCTAGGGCAAGCTTCACGTCCAGCAGTTCCTGATATTCACTGAGCTGAGCGTTCATTCTGTCTCTCAGTTCACTCATCTCTTGTTCTTTTCCTTCGATGTCACGGTGGTGCTTGTCTCGCTCTGCTGACAGAATTTCTTCCAGCTCTCTAATACGATCCTCTGAGGTAGCCAACTTCAAACACACATATATGACCAATATAATCAGTTAAGTTCATTAGCAATGCAATTCATGAAGATGAATGGCAAGGTCCCTAATTTGTGTGTACAGGTGGAATTAAAGCAGTACCTGTTTCTGCAAGGCATTCAGTTGATATCCAAGGTTTTCTATTCTGATACGGGACTCCTGCAGCTCCTCCCTGACTGTGCTCATTGCCTTGTCATTAATCTCTGAGGACATCTTGGCATTATCCAACTAGACAGAGACCAAGACAGACTAGGAGTGAGAATCAGAGCATGAAATGACAAAGAACAAATTATTTGTTTCTCACCTTGGCCTGGAAGGTGTGCTCTAGTTCTTCCTTATAAAGACAGACTTGCTCATCATGTTGCCTCCTTAAGTCCTGGTGGGATCACACATATCTGATCAATGACAATTTTCAAATAAATTCTCCCCTGCTCATACCCCTTTAAAAAAAAGTTTGTATATTTGGAGCAAAAAAACAAACAAACAAACCAACCCTCAAATAGTATCAGACAGTAAAATGAGCCTCTTATGTCATCCTGATTATTATTTTTGCTCCTTTTTGTTTAAATTTTTTTAAGAAAAAGAAAATAAACAACACAAATACAGTCAAACCTCAACAGTGAGCCTTTCTCATTCTTAGGGGTTGTGTAGCAGCCAATGGCACAGTAAAAATTGCACAGAGAGAAGAATGGATTCCTCTAAATATCAGCAAATTCCTGATGCAAATGTCATGTAGTTAGTCAACAAAGTGAAAAAGGCCAAGACAATGATCCAAAGCATAGTTCAAAATCCCCCATAAACTACTTTGCAAGGAAGAGTGGGTGAAAATTCCTAAATCAAGAAAGACTCACTATAAGTGCTTACAAGCTGTGATATCTGCCAAAGAGTAAGCATCACAATTGTTTTTTCATTTTCTTCTGTTTTTTTTTAGTGCATTTCAAGAAAGTCTCATTTTAATGTCTGCGTGCTGCAGAGGTTTATTTACTTCTTTTCACTTAAAAAATGAACCAAGTACAGAATTTATCCACACATTTGCATACATACAACTGAATCAACCCTATATTTGCATTCTTTTTCGCTGATGTTACAGTTGAATGCTTCCTGTCTCTAACATCAAAGATTAAGTTGAATTGGCAGGCTATCATGGGTCCTTATTTGCACTTAATCATGTTATTGTGGACAGAAAAAGTCAAATTCATTCATTTGAATTAGCTTGAATTCTGAAAACAATTGGCTAACATGAATACAGTCAGCACCAAATCAAATGATTAAGACGTTTAAAAACATAAAGGCACCACAGACAAATTCACCGCCCCCAAAAAACATACCTGCAGAGCTTGTGCCAGTTTGAACTCATAGTCCTGTCTGACTCCAGAGTCTACCTCCACTATTCTCTGCTCCTGTCGACGCCGAGAGTCACGCACCTCCTGAACACAAAGAAAAATTTTTTATTACAACAGGGAGCAATTCTTAATGGTGCAAAAATGTCACACGTTTGGTCCATCCGTTTACAATCCTCAAACCTCCAGCTTTGAATGAAGATGCAAGTCTATTACATGTGAAATGCAGGACTTCTAGACTGAAAAACCTTTTCTTTCCAACTGCGATCACACTCCTAAACAGCTGACAGGAGCATACAATCAGGACTTACTTCTTGTAATTCCACCTATACTGCTTAGATTCCAAGTTTGCACATGCATAATTGCACGTTCACTGCTGCCTATTGCACACACTGCTCAAATGTAGCATACATTCTCTCTTTATTATATTTGTTTCCTCTTGCTGTTTTTAAATGCCTTTAGATTTTGTGTACTATTTATCTACCTCATATTTCACTTTGTATTGTTTGGCATTCATTGTGGACAGCAAAGTAAGAATTTCATTGTACAGGGAAACACGTTTCCTTACTGTGCACATGACAATGAACACTTTGATTTGATTACCCTCTATTCTATTCTAAATACTCCACATACGAAGAAAAAACATGGTAGATATACTTAAATAGAACATGATTATGACCAGAAGGGTAAATATTGGTTTTGAACATTGATATACAGTTTAATATACAAGTATTCAGACCCCCTTAAATTTTC